TCCCTCCTTCCCCCACAATGACCGGTGACCTCACTTCCCTCGGGATTTGGACTCGCCCTACCCCGACCGTAGCGCCACGTGGTGGCTCTGGAGATCTTAAATAGACCCACTGTACAACAGATAACTTGTTTCCCGGGAACGCCTGATCGGAGTCAGGCTTGCAAGGCCGCGTTGGAAAGCGTTCGAGTAGACAAACCTAATGGCTAATTAGTAATGCGAATTATCATCGGATACTTGGGGGAGGGGGGTGCGTGGGGGGATGGCCCCTTGACGATAGCTCGGGAACGGCTGATCGGAGCCAAGCTTGCAAGGCGACGTTCAGGGCCTCCTCTAACATGTTAACTGGGGGGGCCGCGGCCCCCCTAGTGATGCTGCTGGCCCCCCCAGTGGAGCTGAAATCGCGTCACTGGGGGGGCCACACAGTTAAACCAATAATGTAGAAAAATGAGGAAATTTCACTAAAAGCGTACCACACAAACAGTCCAGATTCCAGACTATCTTCACGATCACCACGTTACTAATTTTAGTTTTCTTATACCTACCGTTGTTTTTTATCTACAAAGAACATTTCACATCCGCATGTTGCCTAAGATGAGCCACGGAATGAGTTCAGACAATGCAGTTTTTATAATCGAACACCGACTGAAGTCCGAACGGGGCATGGCCATTGATGAATTCCTTTGAGAAGGAAGCGTCCCGGAAGGTCGCCCTCTCAATCAGTCAAACGCTCACGCTTCTACACGGAGGACTATTTTATTCGGGAGACGGGTTCATTCTTGAAGAGGAAATCTTGCTACGGTCAAATGAGAACGCGGCGGAGCACGGGAAAAGTTTTTATTCCCCGGTGTTTGGGACTGGAAGCAATAAGCCCTCACACTTATTGAGGGGTTAGCCGTTAGATAGACCCACCCCTAGGGTTTTCGTAAATAACTCACGTAAAAGTGGCCCAGCGTGGCAAAACTTTTAGTATTCTTGTGATTATCAATTGGCTGCACATTTACTGAAATGACCCTGGTCCCTAGCCTTCATTACTATTGACCTGTGGCCTGTTTCTTAAGTCATTTTCAGGCAGGTAGCTTTTTAGGATAGTGAGCTGTTTTCAGGCAGGTAGCTGTTGGTTAATGGATTCCAGTGTTAGTGGGAAAGATTGACCCTCACACTTTTAGCGGTTGGTTATATTCCTGACGCACTGCGTGCCGTTTAATACAATTTTTCTATAATATAGGGATTTTGTTTTATTCTCGAAAGTCGAAAAGCCAGAAATTTTCGTCGATTTCGGACGTTGCCGGGATCGTTAGGTACCTAAAATGTGACCCTGCCGCCTGGATCCACCAGTAGGGTGACGTAGCCTACCATTTCTTGAATATATTTTTTTTTAATTAAAAATGAAAATCATGGTATCAGGGCTGTGACGAAAAATAAGTGGCCTAAATCCGATGAGAAAACTGGATTTGGGGGTACCCTACTATGTATTTCAGACCCCATGAGACCCTGTTTTTCGGCGATAATTTCTTCAGTTTTTGTCTAATTGGCTTGAAATTTTGACATTAGACATTTCAGCTCAAGCGCCAATTTTCATCAACATGGTCTCTTAACAAAATGTCAATATTTAGAGCACTTGTCATAAGCTCGTAATGCTAATTAGATTTTGCACCCGGATAGAGGCTCGTTCGCTACCGCAGCGGATTGGATGGGAGCGCTGGCCAATCACGTTGCGCCGGGCCCAACTGAACTCCGCCCACTGGCCGTGACCGCGCTGGGTCTATGCCAGCTCAGTCGGCGGCAGCACCGCGGGGAGGTCGCACGGGGGCCGCGCGCTGGAAACATACATGGAATCGACAGGAAGTGTCTGAGAGCGAAAGCTCGCTCTTCATTTGGGGGAGCTGGTAACCGCCTCTCTCTTTTTGGTATATGAACACCGATCCAGCTCAGAATATGAAGAATAATCATAATGAGGATATTAACCTCCCCAGACCCAACCTTAAATAGAGAGCTGAGTCATGCACTATCTGAATATGTGAATGAATGCACATTCTTGCGCCTATCTCAAGGTCAGGTCGTGCCACTGTTCTGTCACCTATGACATGCGAAGCCTCTGCACAACTCGAAAATATGTATCGATGTGGTTGGCTGCGTCAATCGCTGTTTCTGAAGACGTTGTATACCTATGCAGAAAACAACAGAGTAGGATGATGAGTCGCGAGCACTTCCAATTGCCTAAGACATCGCTCCACGAGCTGTGTTCGTAACTCGGGAAACGTTGAGAAGGGATCAGAAATGTGATGTGCGATTTATTGCGCATGGTAGAAATGTGACATCAGAATAAGGGAAACAAGCGCATAGGCTATAGTAAAGAAATCGCGTCTTTTTGTGAAACTAAAGTAACTTTTCAAATTTCAAGCCCTCCAATAATGAGGCAGAAGGCTATTTACTTACAGGTATTTTAATTATTTGCAGTTCAACACGAAAGCCTGGGGTCAAGTCAGTTGAATCCGGTGACATCAATCTAGCCAATTATAAAATGGGTTAGTTCTGAAGGTGTTCATGTTGCACCGCAATCACATGAATCCATTTCAAGCATAGGTACGCATAAGCATAATATATTTCATATTGCAATCACACTTCTTAAATGCTACGTTGTAACTGTTTATCATGTCTTGCAAATTTGACGTAGGCTGACCGACGTCTTGCATCAGTTCAGTCAATTGACGTCAACGGTTTTTTAATGACGTTCAATCAAGCAAAAATGCAGCCACTAGCCATGAACTTACTGAACTTGTAACTTACGTATATCTTTATTGATTGACATGGTGAAGGCTAATTTGCGGCAAATGCAATAACGAAGGCTAGTGCGCTAATTATGAGCGCTAGTTTCTGCTGTATCGTTATTACTGCAACGGCAACCGCAGTGCAGCCACGTCCAATGCGAGCCGCCCCGGTCCGGCATACGGCCTTGGGTCCGGCAGCTACTGCCCCGTCGGCTCCACGCATAGGACTGACCGGCCAAGGTCACCGCTCCGTCCGCCGGGAGGGCGGAGCTTAATGGTCACGTGCCTGTGACGTCACACCTACGTACGGATAGCCTCTACTCCACTGACGGATTTACGGAGCTGATTTTAACATTACGAGGCAACGACAAGTACCCTAACAATTGATATTTTGTTAAGAGACCATATTAGCGAAAATTGGCGCTTGAGCTGAAATGTACTTTGCGAAAATTTGAAGCCAATTGGATAAATATTAAATAAATTATCGCCGAAAAACAGGGTCTCATGGGGTCTGAAATGCATAGTAGGTTTGACTTCTGAGCCTCTGGCCCCCCCCCCCCCCCCAGTGAAAATTCCTTAGAGGAGGCCCTGGCGACGTTGGAAAGCGGTCGAGTAGACAAGCCTAATTAGTAATGCAGACTATCATCGGGATACCTACTGGGGGGAGGTGGGGGGGGGGGGCTGCCCCCTGACCGATAGCTCGGGAACGGCTGATCGGAGCAAGGCATGCAAGGCGGCATTGGAAAGCGTTCGAGTAGACAAGCCTGATTAGCAATGCAAACTATCATCGGGATACTAGGGGGAGGGGTGTGTGTGTGGGGGGGGGTACTCATAAGATTGTCTTCTCGAACGCTTTCCAACGCCGCATTGCAAGCCTGGCTCCGATCAGCCGTTCCCGAGGTATCGGTCAGGGGAGCAATCCCCACCCACCCCCCCCCCCCCCGTATCCCGATGATAATTTGCATTACTAATTAGGATTGTCTACTCGAAGCTTTCCAACGCCGCATTGTAAGCCTGGCTCCGATCAGCCGTTCCCGAGCTATCGGTCAGGGGACACCCCCCCCACGCACCCCCCCCCCCGTATCCCGATGATAGTCTGCATTACTAATTAGGCTTGTCTACTCGACCGCTTTCCAACGTCGCCTTGCAAGCTTGGCTCCGATCAGCCGTTCCCGAGCTATCGTCAAGGGGCCATCCCCCCCACGCATCCCCCTCCCCCAAGTATCCGATGATAATTCGCATTATTAATTAGCCATTAGGCTTGTCTATTCGAACGCTTTCCAACGCGGCCTTGCAAGCCTGACTCCGATCAGGCGTTCCCGGGAAACACATTATCTGTTGTACTCCCCCCCCTTGCCCTCCGAAAAACTGACTCCGTTTTTGAAATCACCGCTATGTAATTACCCTATTTAGCGAATTGGTAGAAATATCTAGACCTGACGAATCTAGCGACTTTTCCAAACCGGTGGCAGCATGTGAGACGCCTGCTATAAGAATACCTTTTTTTGGACAAACTTTTTCAGCAAAAAGCAGAAGGCTGTGGCTGCCACAGAATCTATCTACTGATACAGCTCACAAAATATTGATAAGGGATGTAGAGCCTGCTACTAATCCAAGCTGACCCTTCTCAAGTTCTCAATGAAATGAAGCATGTTGGTCAAACAGGTTCACCAGCCTTTGGCGAAAAGATGGAGGCATTTACTTACCTTAATTAAAATATTTAACTATTTTACGCCTTAGTATATTGATATCGGAAAACCCCGCACACACAAATACGATGATGGGCCATGGGGTATATGACACTGTACACACACACAAACACGTGTCAGTGTAGCAGCAAGGCAAGCAGCATGTGTATTTGCCTGCACCAGAAATGTCTTGACTTCGCCAGTTTGAATTATAAACAAGCGCTAAAAATTCTGTGTCATTCATTTAAGATTTTTGTTTTTTAATAGCAACGTATTTTTCATAATGTGAATCTTTATTAACAAATTTCAAATTTGTATTCCTTTTGTTGCCACCCTTCACCTAAAGAAATGAAAAAAAATATCAAACAATTTTGTTGCAGTTATGACGCGGATTCAATCTTGATAGTGTTCTATTGTATGTCTGCAAGTAGAAGATGCGGCAAAAAAGCTATCACGGCAAATCAGAATGCGCGAGTTCGCCTTGAGCCCGTCAAGGCATCGATCATAAACACGATTCTTTATGCAAAGCTACAAAACAAAAGAAGGGTGATGTTTGTTGGCATTGTTTCCACTATAACTCCCCATATTCTTGGTTTTTGACTTGTGTGAATGGGCCTTGAGTCGGTATTCTAGGTACCTAATACCTATCAATAGTCTTTTTTTAATGTGTTCAAACTTCAATTTGGCTAAAAGTACCTACGTTTTTCGACTAAGCACCGAGCACGCGTTTTAGCCAGCAAATCTGAATCTGGCAAAAACTGAACCTTTGAGGAAGGAACGTCACCTAATTTCATCATATGAATTATTCCTGATAAATTCCATACATGACCATACCTATTTTTCCAGACTGGAAAGAATCAACGAGCATGCCAGATGCATTGGCGCCTGGCAGCTCGTGTGCCAAAATTTGGAGCAAGTGATTTTGCTCTAAAATTTAAGCTAAATTTGTGGCAAAAGTTGGAGCTTATTTGTGTCAAATCTTAGCCTTATCATTTATCAACCATTTTAGTCCATGCACATATCTATCTACGGCATATGTAATAAACAGCAAAAAAGTAAGAGTAAAGTAAGATGTAAAAAGCCTTTTACAGCACCACTTCATTGTGATGCTACAGCTCTGCTAGCTGTCCCTGGGTATTCCATGCACACAAATTTTGACCCTTCTGTATCCAACCTGGGCTCAAGTGCCTGTCGTGGAGTAAGCATTTACATCAAAGACAATCTGAAAGCATCTGTGGTCAACTTTGGCATGACAACTCATATTGAGCAGCTCTGGTTGCAACTCCCTCTGATGGGAAACAACAAGCTTCTGATTGGATGCCTATACCGCAGTCCAACCCTGAGCACACAAGAGAGTTCCACTGAGCTATGTCAACTTTTGCGTACAGCCTGTACATCAGCCTGTTCCCATCTTCTCATATGCGGGGACTTCAACATGCCCCATATTGACTGGGAGAATGTCTTCTCTCCTGCTCCTCCCCTGGATGTTTCACACCAGTTTCTGGAAGTGATAAATGATTGCTTCCTCACTCAGCAAGTCACTCGACCCACTCGCTTCCGTTCAGGTGAGACGCCCCACATCCTGGACCTGATCCTCACCAATGAAGATGGGATGGTAAAGCACCTTTACCATGAATCAGGCCTTGGAAAGAGTGACCATGTCATCCTGCGGTTCGATCTGGCATGCTACACATACCAACATGAGTTCCCCTCTGCTCGTCCCAACTACTTCAAAGGAAACCCAGACAAGTACCTACATCAGGCTGGTCCAGGAGTTGGACTGGGAGTCAGCAAATGCACTCGGTATCGACCAAAAGTATGACTTCATTACCAGTAACCTCACCAGGATTGCTCTGGAGTGTTTCCCGAAAAGTAAGAGAAAAGGAAGCCGTAAGAACATCTACGTAAATGGGCAGGCTCTGCGCCTAAAAAAGAGGAAAGAGAAGCTATGGAAGATATACTCTCACTCCCAGGATGTGTTGGACTACTGCAGGTACACTCAGTGCAGAAATCAACTGCGTGCACTGACAAGAAGACTGAGACGTGACTTTGAGGAAAAGCTAGCAACGAACATCAAATCCAATCCAAAGGCTTTCTGGCGGTATTCCAACACAAGGCTCAGCGGACCAAGACCAAGATCGATGACCTTTCTGATGACTCAGGGCGGACTGTGAGCGATGACACGGGAAAAGCGCAACTCCTGAATGCTTTTTTCAGTACCTAGTATATTCACTGATGAAGATACGACCGAGATCCCGGAACCGACAACCAACTTCTCAGGCCCTCCAATCGAGTCAATCCGCATAACAGCTGAGGCAGTCCGAAACAAGCTTTCCTCTCTCAAAACGGACAGCACTCCTGGTCCCGATGGTTTGCATCCCAAGCTTCTGCAGTTGGCGTCTCAGCCCCTGGCTGGTCCATTGGCTTCCCTGTTTGAAGCTTCCCTCGACCAAGGAGTCCTTCCAGCCTCATGGAAGACAGCTCAGTCTTTCCCATACACAAGAAGGGTAACAAGCAGACCCCAGGGAATTACCGGCCCATCAGTCTCACATCAATCCCTTGTAAGGTCATGGAGTCCCTGATCCGCGATGAGCTCATGGACTTTCTGTCCCTCACAAACCAGTTTTCCAGACACCAACACGGATTCCGGCCCAGAAGATCATGCAGTTCACAACTTCTGAAGGTATTGGAGGACTGGTGTAAGATGATCGAGGAAGGTGACACAGTTGATGTGGTGTACCTGGACTTCCGCAAGGCATTCGACGCTGTTCCACACAACCGACTTCTGAGGAAGCTGCGCAGCTACGGTATCTCTGGCAAACTCCTCCGATGGATCGAAGCATTCCTGTCGGGAAGAAACCAGAAAGTCGTTGTCAATGGAAGCCACTCTGATCTGGTTCCTGTCAAGAGCGGAGTTCCTCAGGGTTCGGTTCTTGGTCCCCTCTTGTTCCTGCTGTACATCAATGACATCCCATCTGCCGTTAACTGTACATCCAAGATGTTCGCCGACGACACAAAGGTCTACAGTGGCGTATCCAGGCAGAATTGCAAAGATGGCCAGGATGTTGCAACTGAGGCCGTGGGGTTGGCTGTCGCTCGTCCCCGAGCTGTCAGTGACCACCCTACTCGACCAGTGCAACCTGTTGGCGGTGGGCAGAACCAGAGCGGCAGACATGCCCAACTCGTGGCAGCTGGGGTTGGACTTGGAGGGTTGGCTGTCGCTCAACCCAGAGCTGTCAGTGACCACCCTACTCGACCAACACAGCATGCCGATGGAGGACTGAACCAGAGTGACAGAGATGACCATCTCGAGGCAGCTGAGGTTGGAGGGTTGGCTGTCGCTCAACCCAGAGCTGTCAGTGACCACCCTACTCAACCAATGCAGCCTGTTGATGGAAGACAGACCGCTACTCGACCTCAAACCTCCCTACTGGCTGATGGAGCAGCGACTACAGCGGGAGCGCTAGCCCTCCAAGCTGATATTGATGCACTTGTGGCATGGTCTGACAAGTGGCAGCTCCCGTTCAATGAAGAGAAGTGTAAGGTTCTGCATCTGGGTACAAATAATCCCAAACTCCGATACACTATGCGAGGAGTGTGTCTGGAAGAGACTGAATCTGAACGGGACCTTGGCATTCTGGTAGACTCCTCCCTAAAATTCCGGAGGCAAGCATCCGCAGCCGTGGCAAAGGCCAACCAGATCTTAGCAGTGATCAGGCGGTCGTTCGAATTGATTGATGAGTGTACTCTTCCCCTGCTATACAAGACTCTAGTTCGCCCTCACCTGGAGTACGGCAATGTGGCTTGGGGCCCATTCAATCGAGCTGATCAACTTCTAGTCGAACGCGTCGAAAGAAGGGCAACCCGCCTGGTACTTGGTAGCCTCTCTCAGACACCGCCGGTACGAGGAACGACTGGAGGCACTGAAATTGCCATCGCTGTTTTATCGGCGACGCCGAGGAGACATGATCCAGGTGTACCAAATCTTTCATGGAGGGGTTGATCTGGCTCCAGAAGAGTTCTTTACTGCTGCTGTATCCGACCGCACCCGAGGCCATCCATGGAAAATCGCAAAACCCAGAGCTGAGTCAAGACCAAGGAGACAGGCTTTCAGTGCCCGGGTGGTCAATGACTGGAACGGCCTGCCCATGTCAGTTGTTGGCGCCGGCTCTGTCGAGCAGTTCAAATCCGAACTCGACGCCCACTGGGCAAACTTCAGGTACCTGGTACCTGACTGGAGATAGTCAAGTCTCAAAGGATTCGAGCTCGATGAGAACGGTTCCCTACAGGCCAAGTGGCCTTTAAAATTCCGATCAAATTAAGGTAAGGTAAGGTAAGGTGATTGCAGATGGGTTACAACTCACAGTACTGGTCTGGACTCTGGTTGTCCTATAGGCTATAAGGACAAGGATCAATTGTTTTTTTTTTAACTTCAGCCATCAGCATAAGAAAGACAAATTAATATCAAATTGAATAAGTAAGGTAGGCACCTAACTATTGCTAAATAGAAAAAAACTAAAATTCAGTAGGTACTAGGTATATGCACAGATCAAGGTGCACTTGCAAGTTGCAGTGTGCACTACACTGTGCTATTTTTCTGTTCTGTGCTTGCTGCCAAAATATAAGTTAAGCATTCCTCCCCATCATCCCTCTAACTCAAGGCTTAGTTCATACTTTATATAGCCTTGGTTCATACTGTGTGTTCTTGAATGCATGATGCATTTCTGGCTGGTCTTGACATGCTGATGCTAAATATGCATTGTTTGTTTACATATCATCATGATTATTGCCATCACTGTCCACTGTGACAAGTCATGTTACTGGCTACTGTGTTGCTGCCTTCTGTGGTAAACCAGCAGCATTTGGAGCAGCAGACTGCACTGCTCAGCCCAATAATGTCAGCTTAGCAGTTGCTAGTTGGTGTCACTGTTTGCTCTCTGCTCAGTGCTCTTCCCAGTGCCCTCACCATACCAGTATCTCCATAGTTGACTGATCAGTGATTGGTGAAGTAGTAAGTGTTTTGGCACAGAAAGAGGCGAGATATCTTAGCTGTTGGTACAAGTGGTTACTGAGCATCCACAGACATTTGTTGCCCATCCACAGACAATTGTTGCCTTCACTAGTTTTTCTAAAATTAAAGAACATAGTTGTTTTTATTTTGTCTACTTGCTGTATTGGGTGTTTTCCTGAGAAAAAAGTATGAAGACGTGGAGATATGATTACGGAGCGAGCGAAGCGAGCGGAGTCTTACGTAGAATAACGGAAATTTCTGAGTATGAGCGGCCGGCCGGCCGGCCGGCCGTGGTCACGATTCTGCGACGCTTATATCTCAGCAACCACTTGACCGATTTACATGCGGTAATTTTTGTAGGGTAGCTTCATTCCTTCTACCAAGTATTGGACTATTCCCGATGCATGTGGGTGACCCCTTATGCACGTGCCACGTGCAAAACGAAGAGGTGTCACTTTTGTAATAGTTGTAATATCTCGGTAACTACTGGGCCGATTGCGCTGAAAGTTGGCATGTAGGTAGGCACCCACTAGGCAATGCATATCCAGGTGCCAGAGTTGGGGTGCTGCTGCACGTGCGCACGTGCAGGGGTCGATTCCAGATCTCGAGAACGGCTGGACCGATTGCGCTCAAATTTGGTACACGGTTACAGAGCAGTTAGTAGGGTGCCGTGCACAAATCAGTTGGGACCCATTTTGCACGTGCGCACGTGCAGGGTGCCGCTTCCAGATCTCGAGAACGGCTGAGCCGATTGTGCTCAAATTTGGCACATCGCTAGAGACCGGTTAGTAGGGCGCCGTGCACAAGTCAGTTGGAGGTACCCCCTCGCAATTTCGCACGTGCAAGGCCCACCCTCTCGCTCGCTCCGTTAATCGCCCCAAAAGGCGTTATACTGGTGTAATGAGCTGAAGCAAAGGGGACAGCAAAGGATGGTTTTAACAGCCGATTGCAAGGGCTCTACTTCTGACTGCAGACTGCAGAGCAGAAGCCAGAAGCAGACAGCTGACTAATTGTAGTGCCATTTGCCCAAGGACTTGTGAAAGAATGGCATTTGCAATTTTGCTCGTATTTACAGCTGGAATGCTGTATATATCATGTAATGATGTAAGTCTGCTGTTTACAGGTATTTTGGTGACTTAGTGCCACCCTAATGTCTGCCAAAATGGCATTTTCTGTTTGAAGCTGCCCTGAGTGCAGTGGTACGATGTTCCAAAGGCTGTCTAACATGATGCGAGGATATCAACAGCAGCCAGACCTGCCTGGGACACCACCCTCACCAAGCCACTCGAGTGAACCCAAGGAAGAGGATGCTAGTGCCAGTTTCGAGGTAATGTTGCCTTTTGCCATCGATACCAATCTAGACTTAAATGAATGTGTGCAATCAAGGGATAATTTATCATTTCAGCAATTCCCTAAAGTAATCAGCACTTCCCATGCAAGTGTAATGAACGCTTGTATCAAGTTCTGCTAAGTGTGTTGCCCGAAGCATCACTAACGGGCCTGAGCACACGCCGGCTGTCCCGTAACCCCGCAGCGTGTCACTGCCACAGGTGAACAGCACGGAGAGCGTGTGTCAGCGGATGGTGGCTCTGCTGGAGCAGGGCACCATGAGCGACGTCACGCTGCTGGTCGGCGCCGCCCAGTACCGCGTGCACAAGGTGGTGCTGTGTGCCTCCTCCGACGTCTTCCAGGTGGGCCAGGCCGCCGCTCGGAACCGTCTCCGAACTGCATAGCGTCAGTTTTTTTTAGTCGTCCGCAAAATGATCAGTGCAGCCGACACGCCCTTAAGCCCCAATGAGCAATTATTTCCAGATGTCATGTACCAAATTTGTATCGTTCACAGTAGGTCTCGTCGTAAATGGCCGTCTTCGGTCCTCTGCGTATTTAATGCTTACCTACGCCATCAGTCACCGTCATAGTCAACTTGCTGGTTTGCAAACTACAGAGGCTGCTTCCCGTGACTGCTGTCTCTCCCGTTCCCCTTCTCGTCCCTCGCCCACCAGTGGTCTTGATTTCGACTTTGACCTGGATCTAAATAGGTCGTTGCAATAGTAATGTCTATTCTGTAACATTACAACATCACTACTATAGGTACTACTGTTGTGGGCGTTAGTGTCAAGCCAATGTCACGAAACCGAGGTCTTATGATTTATTAGATCGATATATTACATCGAGGATTTATGAGTTTTTTAGTGGCAAATGCTGTATCTTGGCATTTGGACAATCCACCCAAATTTAGCTACATTCCAATGACAGCGCTCTTAGTGTTTATGAAGCCTTAAAACGATCTTAGCCTTAAAACGATCTTCCTTGTGCAACATAATCCTAAGCATCCGGATGATTATCCAGTCCGGGTTTTTGAAGATGTGGCTATTTATCCGTACGTTCAATGGCTCACACTCAATGTAGGCGCTGGGGAATAGCTAATGCAATCTGACCATCCGGTGGCATCTCATTTCCAGGCGTACATCGGGGTTTCTGACTGGTTGCTTGCGGTTAGAACCATGCTTATCTATATTCACCGATCATTGTCCTTCAACGTTAGTCCCTTCCTGCATCAAAAGCGTCTCGTTGACGCGTAAAACGTGACTGTATTTTTACCATTTGTTTGTTTTCCTGGCATCTGTTTTATTTCGTCTCTGTGACGGTCACCGTGCCTAGCCCCGTGCTGGCGATTTTATGCATCCTCTGGCCTCTGCGGTACGATTTGAATCACGCGCGTGAACGCCGGGCTGCGCGTGCTCGCCTTGTCCCCAATCCGGTAGCGGGCTGCGCGGCGCGGCGGGCTTACATCGGACGTGTCGCAGAGCCGCCCGCCGCCCGCCAGTGCTGCTGGTGACGAAATGACACATCGGGGGCGACAGATTAGGGCGCCGGCAGCTCTGGCCAGGAATGGCCCACCCGGGCAGCGGGTCAGACACGACGGCCTAGGTCTTGGCTGGATGTTAAATACTGCCGTCACACTTCAATATTTGTGTGCTTCTCTAGTGGCAGTTATATTTGCCTGCGATGTGGATGTGCTAGAAGTTTTTTTTTTTTGTCATTCTCGACAAAGGCGAGTGTTGTTCCTCGCGAAACCCCGACAGCATTATAAATAATATCAAACCGCAATCAATCAGCAGCATGGATTTACGCTCGGGCAATGCGATTCGTTCATGCGTCAGAGGACATGCGTTTCCCGATACACGGCGCGGCTGACCACCGTCTCCCCTCCATCAGGTGATGCTGTCGAGCATCACCTGAGTCACCGAGCTTCAGTCGGAGGTGCGACTGACCCCCTCACTGCCCCCTCCCCCCCCCCCCCGTCAGGTAATGCTGTCAAGTCCCAACTTCAGCGACAGCCGTCAGTCGGAGGTGCGGCTGCAGGAGGAGCCGGCCGTGGCCGCCGTGTTCCCGGCCATGCTGCGCTTCCTCTACTCGGGCCGCATCACCATCACCCACTCCAGCGTGCTGCCTACCCTGGTGCTGGCGGACAAGTACAACATCAAGGTGGGTAACGGGGGCCGGCCGGCCGGCTACACCGGCCACCGATCGTCGCGCGGTTGGCCGTTTTATAATAAGTGTTTCCAGTTGACAATCTGTTGTGGTGTGCCATTTGCCGACAACTCTATCCTTAAATTTGCCGCTTTTCGGAAACCGTGCTGGCAATTTGCTGATGATACTGGGCAATATTCCGTTGTCGTCTATCCCATCCCCATCCTGCCAACATTCGATAGATTATACCGGTGTTGACTCGATATCACTCCTGACCGGTATTGTCTGCTCGGGAGTGGCCCGGTGACGCCGGCTATGATCGGCCAGTCGGCGTTATCCCCGCTCCGATCTGTAGATTTACGCTGTTCTGCTCTCGATATGAGTCAGGGTGACATCACCGACTGATCTGATATCAGCCGAGATGGTCGTAAATTATCCGACCGTTTGGGGAGGTGACAGACTGGGAGGGAGCCGATCTGTCCGGTGCAATTAGGTCCATGGGGCTCACTTTTCTGATATAATTGAATCTCGTAAGGACCCGTGGGATAGGCGAGATCGGGATGTTTTTTTATTTTAATACCAGGAGCTGATCTATAATCGGATCCATCTTCCCGCGCTATTAGCAGTATTGGAGTGCCGGATCCGGTTCCCTCTGATGACGCCGCCCCCCCCCCCCCCCCCCCGTCGCCAGGACCTGAGTAAGGCGTGCAGTGAGTTTATGTGTGAGCGGGTGGTGCTGGCCTCTCAGAGCGGCCTGCTCGTCTCCTGGCTCCAGTACGCCATCACCTGCAACCAGAAGCCGCTCACAGAGGTCAGTGGGGGTCAGGTTATCTGCGGGTCACCCAGGCCGGTGGGGAGTGCTGGCCCGCGGGTCACGGGACTGGAAAATAAAGAAAAAACTGTCAAGGTGTCGACACTTCACCGTCTCGTCAATTAAAAAGTCGAATGCACGCATTTGCGTAGTTTCTGGCAGTGCTATCGATTTATCGATATTGATATTTTATTACTCACGTTGCCACCACAGTTCGGCTCTGCCAGTTTGACACTGTTTTCTCTCTTCCATTAGGCATGTGTGAATTTTGTCAAGTGGAATTTCGAGACGGTCGCAATCAGTGAACAGTTTGCGGATTTCGACGTCGAAGTTCTGCTCTTCTTTCTACAGCAAGATGACCTGGTGGTCCAAGACGAAGTCACGCTGTACAGGTACGTTGCCTTTAGTTTTGTGGCAGCAGTATGCTGTGTTGCCGCTTTTACGGGGCATCTTTTGCATCATAAGATAGCTGGTTGCGCTTGCTTAACTCTTCAAAATAGCCTGGCATATTATCATGCCTCATTTTTGCGAGGTCACTTTAATCCCATGCATGTATGTACTCTGCATGTCGCGTATAACTGCTCGATGCCTTTCAGAGGAAGCACGGGTGCTATGCCGAATCTCAGGCCGCTTTGTCTTTATCCCGGTGGCTGCCGAGACCACCGGCGTGCTCGGAGCGAGAGCGATGACAATTCTGCAGCATGCAGGGCATTGGTGGGCGCATTTCCGCGGTTTCCAAGGGCCCGAGGGAGCTCTCCCGGCTCGGGCAATGACTATCAATCGGTATCATTAGCGGAAATGCGGCTGCCGTCATTGCCACTAATGACATTTTTGAAGTTCCGTAATCTCGAAAGAGACTGCGATGGTGCTGAAGTTCCAGGCAGCCAGACAATGCGGAGCCGCTCGATGATAGCGGAGAACTGTCTTTAATCGACTCATCCCCATCGATTTTGAAATTTTCTCCTCGGGGCGATGTGTCCGGCCACAGGCCGAAATGTCAAGAGATCTCGGTGTGGTTTCCGATACTGTGTGTTTATTAGAGCAATGAATGTATCAATTATGGAAAAAGTCAGGCGTTTCATATCGTAATATGTGAGCTACTCGCCCCACCACTGACTCCGCGCCCCTCCCTCCGCTCAGTCACGTGGTGCGGTGGCTGGAGGCGCAGGAGCGTTGCCAGCCGGCTGAGGTCATGTCCGCCCTGGTCGAGGAGGTGATGCTGCACGTGCGCTTCCCGATGATGACGCCGCGCCAGCTGGCCGAGCTGCTGCTGGTGCCCCTCACCAGCCGACACAAGGACTTCTTCGTCGAGCGGATGGCGATGGGCATGTCGTTCCACTCAGGTGCGCGCCGGGCTGGCTGGAGGATTGGGGGAGGGCTGAGCTAGTCTGGGTTGATGGTGAACTTTTGTAGTGATTTTGATGATTGATAGTGACGTTTAGGTGTGAGGGTGGCTGAGTCAAGCTGCGGCTTACAGGTGTTCTGTCTCATGGGGCGTTGGATCGGATTGTCCTGGCGATAATCTCTGTTATGAAATGAGGTGATTTATGTTGCAATTTTTACGGGGCTGCGACTTGGCATTGTGCAAGCTTGTTCACTGTTCAGGCAGCGACCTGACCTTGTGGCCTCGTGACCTTCACCCCTTCCCCTCCCACCTCTGCACTCTAGGTTGAAATCGTGTAGGTATACGACTATCTCCCGGGGCCGCATCCTTCATTTTGCTCCCGCCGTCCGGAGAGCGGACGTTGTATACCTTCTGACCCCGCCATATGCCGACCCTGTATGTACCGGCCATTGTCCTGTCGTGCTGACCGCTGACTGAGCCCTGCATTCCTGCTAAACTGTCCTGCCGTGCTGACCGCCGACTGACCCCCGTGTCCCCCAGGTCACTGGGAGCGGGTGCGGGAGCTGATCCGCACCGGCCGGCCCGGTCAGCAGCTGTTCACTCCCCGTGTCTACACGGACGAACAGTGGTCGGCGTCTCTGGTGATCGACAACTACAGCCGGCTGCCGCCCTACCTGACGCGCACGCTCGTCTTCCACTCTCCGGCGAGTCTGAGCGAGGCTGACCGGCGGCCGCCCGTCGAGTGGGTGGTGGACGTGTACCCGCGCGGCGTCTGGTTCAGGAAGTTCTACCTGATCGTCTGGCAGGGCATGACCGAGGTGCCCGAGCTGGTGCTGCGCACGGTGCGGCTCGCGTTCATGCCCCGCTCGCTGGTGGACGGGCCGCTGCGGTTCCGGCTGGCCGTGCTCATTGACGGCGTGACCAGCGGCGTGCACCACGTACGCACCGTGGCCACGCGCAGCTTCCTCTTCACCGAGGAGGAGCGGCTGGTGAACTTTGACGACCTGCTGTCGTTTGACGAGCTGAACGACTCGCGTGCACGCTCGCCCTACCTGCTCGGGAAGGACGGCGACGTGCTGAGACTGCGGGTCGTGGTGGTGCCGCTACACGACGTCTGTAAGACGGCCAGCTAGCGGAGCGGCGCCGCGGGACGGGCGGGGGGGGGGGAGGCACGGAGCGCGGCTCCGCCCCCATGTGATATCGCGGTGTGTTGATCTCGTAGGTCGGGGGCGGTGCCGTGCTCGGGGTAGTGGTGGCGTCTTGGTCGGGTGTTCGGTGCCTCTCAATGTTTGTCGGATTGTTCGGACGAGCCGCTGACTCTGTAAAGCTGCCGTCGCCGCCGGCGGAGTCTGCTACCACTGCCGGGAGGGGTTTGGTCGGCCAGTCTGCGGAAGTCTCCAGCGGCGTCACCCCACTGCCGGGCCGGATCGGGCCCTGTTTATTACCGTGCCATTTAGCCAGAGGCTGCCTGCAACTGCCGTTACAGCTGCGGCGAGCGAGATAGCTGCAATTGTTCAGTGAGGCGAGGCATTGGGGAGTTTGTCTCAGGGCGTCTAGTTTAGGAGTGTGCCAGTGTGCTGCCAGCGAAAAATGAAGGCGTAGGGTCGTTACAGTCAACGGTGGCTCTTCACGCCACTGTGTTCGTGTTTTATTCATCGTTCGGTGATTGTAGCTGATCACATCCACTCAAACTACTGCGTTTGAAAGCTACGGTCCTGAATGGTCTGAAAGTTAGAATCTTACTCTGATGCGTGATGGCAAACCTAGAGCAACTGTGTATGCCTAGCAGTGCTTTAACATCTTTTTTATAACCCCGTCAGCACAGAATCTGCCGTCTAACGACTGTCGTAAGACCATATATTCCGTACCGTCAGTAACCAAACTTCAACTCACGACAGGAATGTCACGTCTAGAACTGATCCATTTAATGTCATGCCGATAGTGACATAGCATGTTCTATCGTCTCATTTTGTGTGAGACCTCAGCCTCTGCGACCCGTCATTTTCGATGTGGTCGAGACTGGGACGATTTGACGATCGGCGTTTGACGGACAGCTAGACGGCGGACTTGTGACAAGTATTCTATGCCGACGACGTGCCAGCCGGTGGTGTGTTGTTTATGCTCAGTCTCGTAACACGTCCGGTGTTTAACAATCTTAATTGGTTAATAGATGGTCGTGTCTTATGCAGGGTCGTGGTAGCGCTCAGTACCGGTCTAATTACGGTAGTACGAATGTACGCGGCTTCGTCTAAGATACCGAAAGTATCTCCACAGACATTGTGGGATGTGGCATTATATTCTGGTCAAATGTCATAGACGTCAGACAACTGAAGCATGCTGAGATAAGTCATTCCGTATCTCTATTCGTACTTGGGAAGACACAACGTACAAGCAAGGCTAATGATGAGTGATAACACCGCGTGTCCCATACCTATCGCAGTGACTATAATGATAACAGAGTGATAGTGTTTTGTTTTGTGATCACTGACTTCCGACAGTAAGTTATCAATTTGGGACAATAATATCGCTCTGTATTCTGACGTTCTGTGCAGACGGCGGGACACAGAAGACTTTTGGTACCTCGATGGATTGGTCGATGCCTGCTCGAGCCAACCTGTGCTTGTCTCTGATAAAGTGAAATACAAATGCAAAAGAAGGCTTTGTGTGTTCTACCGTCGGAACTGGACCGACCGAATATATGCTCGTCCGCGAATGGAGCCTTGCGATGGTTGTTGCCGATACGCTGGTCTCTCGGTCCGAGGGTTAGCGCTCACCCCGGCCAAAGTGTTGCAGCAGTGCGCGAGGTCTGCCGCCGCGCCAGGCTCGGAGTCGTGCCCGCTGCACCCCCTATCCACCGCTGTCCGCCTGAGGCTACATCCCTCCGCCTCTTCAGGATTATCCCCACACTTGTACCGTGGTCTATAACCGCCCGAGGAAGGCGCTACACGGCAGTGTCACTGGTGGCGTAACGGAGAAACGGGGGCTCGGTACCCTCCCGGAGATCATGCATGTTCGCGGGAGATCACAGCCCGTTCAGTGGCACGCTGGATCGGCCTGTCACCCACCCACAGCCCGCCGGGGAGCCTGGTCTGTCACGCCAGTAGGACGCCATCGGGACAGGTGACGACGGATGGATTGCAACCCGCACCGGATCCGGGAACGTCGGACGGGTCACGGGCGAGGAGATGTCAAAACGTACCGCACCGTGAAAGGGTCCTCTTTTTAAAGTTTCTCGATCATTCATGACCGTTTCAACTTTCAAGACTGATGCATGATCTTTTTGCTGCTTCTAAGCCTAATGCTACATGTACATAAGTATCATTTAAGGAGGCATAGCATGTACATATGCACATCACACAAAATCTTATTCTGCATGCATATAAACATCCAACCATCGCGATCATAAAATTGCGCAATGTTTCAGATCACGGGATATTTGCGACTGTCCACGTGACCTCACAGCCGTGCCACGTCTGTTCTCACGTGACTTACTGTCGTGCTGATTCCGAGCCCGGGAGGACTGAGCGGTGGCGGCTCAGCGGCCGTGAGGCGCCATGAGCCCCCCCCCCCCCCGCGGTCACCGGTGAGGGGGGGCGCCGTTATAAATGGGGGCTGATCTGGCTCAGGGGGTAGTGTCGCTCGCGCCGCCGCCATGGGAGCTATGTTGTGGATGTGTGTGCCGCTGCTGGCGGTGGCTCAGTTCGCCTCCACACAGAGTTCCAGCTCAGGAGGTGAGTCAATCAGGATCCGAATAAGAACTAAAAACGAGCTGTTCTGAGGAGTTAATAGAGCACAAAATACAAAAAAGTCGCTCATTATCGGTAATGGGTAAAAGTGGCTGGACGCTTTTGATAGTAGGCCTACTTAAAATGTAGACGTTTTATACCTAGACAGGAAAATGCAAAAACATGCATATGGACACATTCAGGACGAAGTTAGCCCTCGCTGGACCTACCTATAGGTTTCCTACATGCCTACCAAAGATCCTCACTACCCTGAGACATGTTCCGCTTGACTTCAGAATTCACCAGTTGGCTTGAAATCTTAGAATCGGATACCAGTCGCTGCGTCTCGTAGCGGCGCAAACGTTCATTTTTCGCGAGGGGACGAAATGGCGAGGTCCCTCAGTCAGGGATCGAGGGGGTGGTACCACCACCCTTGAGGTTTTAAACGGAAGTGGGAGCCTAAGACTGTAGCGTAGAAGACTGCAACTAGCTCACAAGAAGGTATCGTAACACTGGAGACTGCAACTGGCTCATACGAAAGAAACAGTAACACTGGAAACTGCAACATATCGCAAGACGGTACCGTAGGAGATTCCAGCCAGCTCACAGGAAGATGGCGCAGGAGACTGTAACTATTTTACAAGACGGTATCGTGGGAGATCGCCACTAGTCGTAAGACGGTAAAGTAGGAGACTGTGACTAGTCAAAGGACGGTAACGCAGGAGACTGCAACTAGTCATAGAACGGTAACGTGGGAGACCCCAATTAGTCGTAGGACGGTAAAGTAGGAGACTAGACTGCAGCTAGACATCAGACGGTAACGCATAGGGGACTGCAACTAGTCATAAGACGGTAACATTGGAGATTCTAGCTGTCATAAGAAAGTAACTGCGAAGACTGCAACTAGCTTACAAGACGGTAGCGTAGGAGACTGCAACTGATTCATAAGACGGTAGCGTTGGATACTGCAACTGACCCATAAACAGTAGCACTATATAGTGTATACTGCAACTTTCCACAAGCGGCACCGTCAGCCTCCAGCTAGCTCATAGGAAGGTAGCGCAGGATCGCAGCTCGTGGTCAATCATCAATTGATTAGTGATTGAAGTTACTACAACATAATAAATCCTGCATACGGCCGAGAAGCTTGAGTCATTACCGGCAGCGAGTTGCGATCCTATCGCATTTCCGCGGTCACGAATTCCAGTCAGCACCAGAATGATTACTATCACACTTTTCGTCTTTGTTAGACTCCACCAGGATCTAAAGATAAACTGATTTACTATTGAGAGTTAGCTTCTGTTTATCTTGATAGATAGGCATGTACTGATCAGTGATCAGCAGTACCTACTGCCTACTGCTCAGGTAAACACGCGACACTAACTTGTCCCTGGCAAAAATCCCCAAAAAATAATTTCCATCAAACGCCATAAAACGACTCCGTCTCAACTTTTTGCTCAGAACCGAGGCGATTTCGCGACACAACCGGGGCGTTTCGAGTCCAGTTGGCCTTGCACTTCAACCGTGTGTTCACTGTCCAGTGTCCATCTCTGGTCCCGGCTCCGTAACCCTGCTAAGCACGGCCCCGTGAACCCTTTTGACCCCGCTCCGAGACCTCTACTGAGTGCCGACTGCTGACCCCCGGCTCCGTGACCAGTGACCCCTGCTGACCTAGCTTTGTGTTTAAGACCCCTGCTGACCTATCTGTTTGTGACTCCTGTCGACCCCGGCTCCGTCCGCAGACTGTTCCCGCCTGAACTGTTCCACCGGCCACGAGTGCCGGCTGCGACACACCTGTGACAGCGACACCGGTCTGTCGGGAAGCTACCTGCCTCCCTGCCTTGACCGGGCCGAGTGCGTGCCGTCCGTGACCTGCGCGGGTCACCAGTGCCAGCGCGGCCACCACTGCCGACTGGAGGCCGACCCGGCGCCGCGCGCCGCCCAGTTCCGGCCGCCGCTGCAGCGCGCCGCCTGTCACCGGACGCTCTCCTGTGACGAGCTGCGTTGTCCGCCGGGAGAGCGGTGCGCTCAGAGAGAGCTGTGCGATCACTCCCTGCAGGGCTACCTGCCGCCGTGCCAGACCATCTTCGAGTGCGGGCCAGAGACGGGCAGAGGAACGGATGAAGGGAGAGGAGTGGAGGTGGACGGTGAGACCGCGGTTAGAATAGAGACGGAGGAAGCCCAGGCCGACGTGGGAACTCGGAGAGGAGGCGGGGAAGCGCCGATTCAGAACATTCAGGTGACAAGCAGTGCAGAAGCAGTGGATGACCTGCCCACTATCACCGTTTACGAACCAACAGCGGAAAAGGCAGAGGAAAAGAAAACGAGCCCAGAAGAGAAGGATGATCTGCTGGAACAGCTTTTGAATGTAGTCGAGGCGACACCTAGCCCAGCAATTCAGCCCGCCGTTCAAACAGCCGACACTGACCGAGACGGAAATACGAAGGTTCCTCTCGGTGAAATACAAACGGTTCTGCTGGATGAGACGGAGGCTGACACTGCTCTATCGGCCATCTCCGGCTCGGCCGGCTCGCTGGAGCAGACGAATGCTGGTAAAACATTCGTAGCAACAGTAGAAAATGACAGTCCAGAGCCACTCACGACACCCGAACTTAGCTCTGAACCGGAACAGACCTATAATGCTAACGAGAACACTGATTCAGAGGTTGAAAACTTGAATCTATTTTCTGCGGTTGCTCCTAATATACAAGGAAATTCGCTACCTGAGCCCAAGGCTCCAGAGGAAGTCTATACTGCTGAAACGGAAACCCCTGGTAATTCTGCGCGGAACTCGGTATCACAGCAGATTAGCAAATCGGCGGCGCCCGCTGCGCCCCTCCCCGCCCCTGAGCTCGAGGTGGCTCCAGAGTCTTTCGCCGACATCCTAGTTCTGACTCCCGAGTCGCTGCGGTCGTCTGAGTCGGAGTCGACTCCAGCATCCGACTCGTCGCTGTTCGATGACGAAGCCAACAAGATCCCGCCGGCCCGGAGGTCGATCGGGACACGCTCCTGCGCCGAGACGCGCTGTGTGGCCGGCCGGCGGTGCGTCCTTCAAAACAGCCTGCCCACCTGCAGGAAGCTGACCTGCAAGGACCTGACCTGTAAGGACGGGGCGCGGTGTGTGATCATGGGCGGAGTGCCCGTCTGCCGCCCGCCGCCCACACCGCGGCCGGCCGCGTTCGCCCGGCCCAGCGCAGCCAGCTCGTGTGATGAGGCCCGGTGCACCGAGGACCAGAAGTGCGTGCTGGCCGGCGGCCGGGCGTGGTGCACGCGCCGCCGCACCTGCGCCAGCCTGCGCTGCCGGTACGACCAGTTCTGTGACGCACGCCGCGGCCTGCCGCGCTGTCAGATCCGCCGCTCGTGCGACGGCGTCTCCTGCGCCGACGGCAAGGTGTGCCAGCTGATCGGCCGGCTGCCGCGCTGCGTGGTGGCGCCCCGCTGCGAGGACCTCAACTGTGGGCCCAACGAGCGCTGCATCAGCGTCGGAGGCGCGCCCTCCTGTCTGGCGGCGCCCGCCTGCTACGACCGGCGCTGCCCGCCCAGCCAGGAGTGCCGCGTGGTCAACGACGAGCACCTCTGCGTGGACGCGCCCACGTGCGAGGAGCTCCGCTGTGGCCCCGGCAAGGTGTGCCGAGAGTACTTCGGCTCGGCCAAGTGTATCACGGCCACGACGTGCGCCAACGCGCACTGCCGGGACGACCAGCGGTGTGAGGTGCGCGACAACCTGGCCCGCTGCGTGTCGCTGCGCGGCGCGCCCTGCACAAACGCCGGCGGCTGCGAGCAGGGTCTCCAATGCGTGCCCGTCAACGGTGAGCCGATCTGCGTCAAACCGGCCACCTGCGACGGCGTCCGGTGCCGCTCGGGCCAGCGGTGCGCCGTGCTCTCCGGCACGCCCACGTGCGTGGCGTCGTGCGCGGCGGCCGAGTGCGCGCCCGAGCTGTTCTGCCGGGTGCAGGCGGACCGGGCCGTGTGTGTGGAGTGCGAGCTCGACTGTCCGACCGGACAGGTCTGCAAGCTGCAGGAGCCGCGCTCCGTCACCAGCGAGTACGTCGTCTCCAGAAAGAAAATCCCGCAGTGTGTTGTAGGAGAGGCATAATTCGACGACCGTAACGTCCTCCAGAGGGCACAGGAAGAGAGGAGGAAGAGGCGATATGTATCACGCCGGACGATCGAGTGCCATCGGGTCTCCGTCCCGGTAATAAGCTGTGATTCAGGTACTTGTGAGTCGCACAAGACCGGCGGTCAAGTGCGCGTGGGTGACCGGGTGTGTCGTCCACACAGTGAAGCGGGCCTAGTGTGAGCTGGTCCGAGTTATTGTTGTCATGTTGTGACTTTGGAAGTTGAAATAAAACTAAATGATGATACAATTAGCTGACCCGCCTTTGACTGATCCAAACTATAGGTATGGAGAAAAACAAACAGCAAACATTCATATAACTATACCAGAAGCTAATTCTGACTACTAGACTACTGTAAACAATATCTTATGTGGCAAATTACATTTATTTTGTATATCGAACCGGGTCCACATATTCGCATGCATCCCGTAGATTCCACGTCAATCTAATACCGGCAACAAAACGACACGGTTCACAGGGGCATTGTTAATGTGTAACACTGATGGCCTACGGGAGCGATCAAAACAACCATATCGGCGGCACCTACATTTTTACATCTATACAAGCAAATAACAAAATTCTCAAACACGCACAGTAAAGCCTGGTAAATCATTTGTTTGCCTTTTGTTTAGCCGTGCAGTCCGGACAGAACCATTTGCCTTTTGGAGCAATCACGATGCCCACGCACTCGAAGTGGAACCACTCGTGTTTGCAGTCGTCATTGTCACAGCCGATCATTTCGCTCACCTCGTCGTAGGGCGACTGGCAGTAGCAGTAGAGCTTGTCGGCTTCATCCGCCGCCGCCGCCGGCTCCTTGGCGTCCTCCGCCTGGAACCGGCGGGACGAGTTGGAGTAGGACTTGCGGTACGAGTCGCCGCCGCCGGCGCCGGCCCGGCCGGGGGTGCCGCCGCTCCGCCCGCCGCCCCGCCCGCTGGCACTGTGGCCGCTTCGACCACCGCCCCTGCCGCTGGGACTGGGGCCGCCCCGGCCACGACCCCGGCCGCGCGTGGCACCCTCTTTTGTCGCTGACGGTATGCTGCGCCGTTTGGCGCCGGCCGGCACCTTGGTGGCGCTGGGCGCGCGCCGTTTCTCGGCCCCTCTGACGCGCGCCGAGTCCAGTATGTCGGCGTCGTGCTTCTCCTGAGCATCCGACTCTGAGGCGGCGTCGGCCGCGGGCGGCGGCGTCGCCGGCTCCGCGGGCGTCTTGGGCACCGGCTTGGGCACGTAGGTGACGACCACCTCGAATCGCGGCAGGTCGGCGTCCGGGTGTGCCAGGTAGGTGTGCGTCACCAGGTCGTCGTACGACTGCGACTGGTCCTGGCACGTCAGACACTTCCACCGGCGCCGCTCCACATGATCGGGCGGCGGCTCCGGCTTGGGCTCCGGTTTGGGCGGCGCCGGGGGAGGCGGAGGCGCCCCGTCCTCGGCCAGCCGCGGCGGGGCCGTCGGGTCGTCCGGGTTTTTGCGCGGACGGCCGCGTTTCCGCGGTTGTGAAGGGTCGATCGGTGGCCGTATTTTGACGGGGTACTTCCTAGGGCGACCGCGGCGCGGCAGCTCATCCCCGTAGGCCGCGATGCGCGCCTGCCGCTTGGCCTCCATTTTCAGCTCCCGCTTGGCCGTCTTGGCGTTCCGCTTGATCTCCTTGAGGAAGTCCTGCTTGCTGGAGGCGCTAGTGTCTTTGTCATCGTGCAGCACGGGCCGCATGCTGGAGCCCGGGTGTTTGAGCGTGATGTGCGCGCGCACGCCCCACAGTTTGGTGAAGTAGGCGTTGCACACGGGACAGCTCCACACCGACAAAGAGTTTTTGTCCTTGGTCTTGAAGAGCTCCTCCTTGGCCTGCATGTCGATCAGGTCACGCTTCTCGTCCTCGTCCTCATCCGTGTCCAGGTCCGAGAGCGTCATCTCGTCCTTGGGGCCCGACCAGGTGGCCTTGTACCGCTCGAACAGCTGGCGCAGCTCGGCGGGCGTCAGTGTGCCGTCCGGGGCGCGCGCACTCTCCCCGCCGCCCTGAGAGGCAGCCGGCTCCAACGGCGCCGGCGCCGGCTCGGGCTCGGCGGCCGCCGGCGCCGGAGCGGCCCCCTCCGCCGCCGCACGGGGCTCGGAGTGGCGCGACGCCCGGTGCTTTTTGAGCAGGTTCCGGGAGACGAACACCTCGTCGCAGGCGGCGCAGCGGTGCGGCTTGTCATCCGAGTGGGTGCGCTTGTGCACACGCAGCTGGGTGGCCGTCATGACGCGGAAGTGGCACACGTCGCACATGTGCAGCATGTACTTCAGGTGCATGTGCTCCTCGTGCGCCTGGCGAGCCGTCGCCGAGGTGAACGGGCGCCCGCAGAAACGGCACGGGCCCTGCGAGTGTTTCCATTTGTTGTGCATGGCCAGCATGCCTGTGGTCATGAACTTCTTGCCGCACTTTGGACACTCGACGTTCTTGTCTTTGAAGTGGAAGCGCCGGTGTCCGAGCAGCTGCTCGCGCTTGGTGAACTTGGAGTCGCAGTGGTCGCAGCAGTACTTGCCATCCGGCGCGCGCAGATGGTCAACCTCGTGCCATTTCAGCTGGTCGCCCGTCTCGAAGCGGGCCTGACACTTAGCGCACGTGTGCGTCAGCGACCGGCACTGCACCTCGTGCGAGCCGTACGCGCTCGGATCCTCGAACACCCTCGGGCAGAACTCGCAGCGGAAAAAGTCGGTCGACGAGTCGTAGGGGAGCAGGCGGCCGGCGCCGTCTACGTGTTTCATGTAGTGGTCCAGCAGGCCGTCCAGGATCTTGGTCGGGTCGTCGACGAGCGCCACCCGCATCGGACAGCCCATGCAGCGGAACAGGTACTCCTCGGTCATGTGCAGCCGGATCTCGTGGTACACCTGCTCCGAGAGGGTCGCCAGTCGCGCCGGACACCGGTTACACGCGAACGGCAGTGTCGCGGGGTCGACCGGCGGCGGCGGCGGCGGGGACGGCTTGGCGCTGGCGGCGGCCGGCCGCGGGGAGTCGCCGCCCGGTGTGCCCGGTACGGACCTGCCGCCTGACTGAGGACGGTCCGCCTCCGACGGTGCGGCCGACGGCGGCGCCACGCGTGGCGACACGCTCAGCGGCGTCTGCGGGGCCGAGCCGGCCGGCGTGGCCGCCTGCCCGGCCGACGGGGTCGGCGGCAGCGCCATCCTCAGCGGCTTTTCCTCCATGCTGACGTCAGAAGCGTCATCCGCAGCGGCGGACGGCGCCGCTGTCGCCGGCGGCGCCGTCACTGGCGCAGGTGTCGCTGGTGCTGTCGGTGGAGGTGCCATTGATGGTATAGTTGGTGCCGATGGTGGCGTCACAGACACCAGCACTGGTGCTGGCGATGCTCCCGGGACGGTGAGCGGGGTGATGAACAGCGCGGTGGCCGGCACGCTGCCGTCGGTCGGCAGACCCGTCCAGGCGGCGCCCGGCGCCGGCGACACCACGCCGCCGAACCAGCCGGTGGTGGTGGCGGCCGGCGATGTGATGGCGCCGCTCCAGCCCGGAGTGCCGGCCGGCGGACCGTACCAGTCCAGTCCGGACGCCGGCGGGCCGGCCATCCAGGCGGCGCCGCCCCGCGCCGGGTCCAGCTGTTCCACCGGCCACCCGGCGCCCGGCACTGCGGACACACCGGGACCGCCGGGCGCCTGTCCGTTCGGCACCAGAGTCTGATCTACGCCCGGTGGAAGCGGCGTCTCGGAGACAAACACCATCCGCTCGGCCGTCTCCACCGGCATCTGAACGGCGGCCAGCAGGCCTGAGCCGCACGTGCGCCGGTAGCGCGACACGCGAGCAGAGTCCAGGAACTCCTTTAGCTTGGTGGCCGACATGGAGACCGGCAGCGGCGTCTCCGGCTCCGGCAGCGGCGCCAGGCCGTCGTCGCCGTCAGCGCCGCCGATGTCGGCGTCCGTCACGGTGCTGCCCGCTTGGAACGCCGCCTCCGTCAGACGAACAACACGCTGCTGGCCGACGCGCCGCCGACGCCGTCGGACGCGAATGATCGGCCGCCAGCCGAGCTGCCCCTGCTGCTGCTGCTGAGCTGCCGCGACGGCGGCGGCCCGCTGCTGCTCCTGCTGCTGACACCACATGATCCGCTGCTGCTCGGCCGCCTGCAGCTGCACGCGCTGCTCGTGCAGGTCACTGAGAAAGCGAGCCGACAGCTCCCGTTTGACCTTCTGCAGCCGCTCCGCGGCCGCTGGGTCAGACTCGGCCTCTGGGCGCTCCGGGCCACCGACATCCGGCGTCTCACCCGCCGCAGAGGGAGGCGGGGGTCCGGCCGGCGGCGGCGGCGGCGGCGGGGGAGCGGACGGCTGCGGCGCCGGCTGGCCGGTCGGGCTCGGGCGCGCGTCCGACTGAGAGGGTGACAGAGCCGGCGGCGGCGGCGGCAGCGAGTGTAGCATCAGCTGCACTTTGGGTCGGCTCTGCGGCGAGACGGAGGCACCGCCGGCCGGCGGCCGGTCGGCGGGCGGCTTCAGTTTGGACGGTGACCCGACGGGCGGCCGTTTCTGCGGCGACGCCTCCGGACTGGGCGCGGCCAGCACGGCCGCGATCGCCTCCTCCATGTGCCGTACGTTATCCGAGGTCAGCGGACGCACGTTGTACGGACGTTTCATTTTCATCTGAAGTGAGGATTTCCCAGAAGCCAGCTTGCTCTTCCAGTAGTCGCTCATCTTCTTCTTTTTGAACATGTGGACTTCTTTCTGTTTTCTATGCTTCTTTTTCAGGGCAGCGAGGGCACCCTCGTCCATCAAACTTTTGATCATTTGATCCTGAAGCCGTTCTAAATTATGAAGCGGAGCATTCAGGTTGTTGCCAATATCTTCATCAGTCGACAACTCATCGGAGCGGTCACTTTTCTTAGTCGGAGACGGCGTGAGCGTCCCTTTCAGCGACGATCCAGCCTCGCTCACCCTTCTCTCCCGCTTCGCCTCAGTATTCTCCAGCGACTTTTTGATCACAGCCCAGTCCTCGTCAATGTGCTCAAACAGTGGTTTCGTTTCGGGTTTGCCGTGCGCGTGCTCGCTGGCACCGGATGACCTCCTGGGCGGCGAAGTGAGGCCCGGCCGCGGCGCGTCCTTGACCGGGGACGCGGTTGAGTCGGAGTCGTACGGTTCGTCCGGGTCCCGCGGCAGCAGCGTCACCCTCTGCGGCACGCTGCCGTCCAGCCGCACCGCCACCAGCTTCTCCTTCCGCCGGCGCTGCTTCTCCTTCAGCTTGCTGAAGTCGTTGTGGAGCGCGTCGGTGGCGCCCTTCCACTTCGGGTTGGAGTGAAGGATACTGACGTTCTCCGCGTGGCCGCCGGCGCCGTTGGCTGCGTGCGCTTTCTTCACGTACTTGCGCGGCACGCTCTGCTCACCAGGCGCCTTCGGAGGTCTGCCGCGGGGCCTCTTCGGCTGCATGTTACGCACCTTGTCATGGATCGGTCCCATGGTCCTGAGCTGACCGGTGACCGCCGGCGGTCTGCTCGGCCGCGATGGCTGGTCGCTGGTGAGGAACGTGGGCGATTGCTCCAGGTCCGAGGCGAAGTGTCCCTCGTCCTCCGGCGACCCGTCCGTCAGCAGGTCCAGGTCCCATGACATGCGCGGCTTCGGAGCCGACGCCGACGGCTTCGGCCGGAACGGGTCCGGCGCGGCGCGCGAGGCGCCCCCGGAGGGCGCGCGGTACCGGGCCCCGGCGACCGGCGCATACTGACCCCTCGGGCTCACACTGTCCGGCGGAGCGGGCCGCGGCAGCCCCAGCTTGGCAGGAGCGGCGAACTTCTTCAGAGGAGCGGCGAGGCTCGTCTTGGGCAGACCGGTGGCGCCGGACGGACTGGGCCTCTGTGGTCCCGCCTTGCTGACCGACGGCGAAACCAGGCCCATGCGCAGGGGTCCGGCCTTCAGCAGCGACACCGGCGCTTTAGACGGCCCGGGGCGAGACGCCGGCTTCAGACCCGGCGTCCCGGCGGGGGAGCCGAACGACGCTATTCTCGGCTTACCGACCTGCATTGGTCCTGCCTTGCTGACCTGTACTGGTCCCGTCTTTCCGACCTGTACTGGTCCCGTCTTGCCGAGCGACGCCGGCCCGGGCTTTCCGACAGCGGCGACTGCGCCGACGGGCGCCGTCGGTCGAGCCTTCTTGACGACGCTGAAGAACTGGTTGTGCGACGACGTGGCAGCGGGTGGCGGCCAGCGGTTCCAGGAGCCAGAGGAAGGGGAGCTCACCCCTGGTCGGGCAGCCATCTGGCCCACTGGCTCGTCGTGAGCCATGGCGCCCACACTACTAATGTATTGTGTATTGGACTGCCCCTGCCTGAAAACAACAGAAAATATATCAGGAAAGCTACTATACCACTTCACAAGCTGGTGAGGACAAAGCACTTTGTCTTTTTATAGACAGCAGTATTATTAGCAAATAATGAAATGGACATGAGAGTAAACACATTCAAAATGATAATCACTATGAACTCTTGTTGTAAGCAATGCATTTATCATTTCATAAGAGTGAGCAGGTGTTGAGGTGAAATAAATACTTGTACTGCACTATAATTAGTTTAAATAGAAATGATATCAATAAACATATCCCAGATATTCATGCAAAAAAAAATGAAATTTTGGCAAATTGAGGCTTCAGATTTGTCACAAAATGTTGAGTCCTTGTATGCAGCCCAACTGAAGGCTACAAGTTCAATTCTAATGACAAGAAATAACCATCAAAGTAAATACAGATGAGAGAAGGGTAGTTATGTATAAGGAAGTCCTGAAAGATGTACAACTGCTTTTACCTTTTAAGAGTAAGTTATCAATGCCAATGGTTGCATCAACCAACTAGACAAAACATAACTATTCTAAAAGCCAAAAGAATTAGACTTCATAATTGTACACACCATATTTAAATATGAAAATCTAGGCATGGTCAAAAGAAAAGAATAGAGAGGTCAAAGAAGCTATATTTTCCTGTACCAATGCAGTGAAGGTGAACAGCAAAACCATGTTCCATTGATGAATGTCAATGCTTGTTCTCTACCATCCTGGAATCTATTCAGAGGATAGATTTGATAAGCTGCAAAATTAATTTGCAAATGACATGAAGCTGAACTGCAATTCATTCTCTAGAGAATAACCTACAATGTTTCAGACCAAAAACATTTCAAAATATGCAATATTTTGAAATCAAGATATGAGCATGTATCAAGGTATGTGGCATATGTAAAAAAGTGCAATGCAACACAGGAAACAGACAAAATTAGTGCTAAGTTTAAAGTCATAAAAAGGACAAAGCAATGCCCAAATCAGTTCAAACAAACACCATCAAGTTCATCAGGTAATGCATCATTTTAGATATCAAAACAACAGGCATTATTTACAACTAACATGCTCTCTCACTTAGGTAGCATTAATGTCCATTGATTCAACAGGGTGCATGTCCTTTCTTAGTTTCTAATCAAAATGAAGCCCTTGATATCATAATGGCTTGATTTTGCAATCATGATTCATTATTCAATAAATATATCATGTAAAATCAATAAATAACATGACAGAAAATGTAGAAAAAGGATTAGAATTTCATTATCATGATCCGATCATGACTGATGAAAATTAATTGAACCAGGTACTTCAGCTCATCTTTACATAATTAATGATAAGTAATTATCAAAGACTAAACCAATCACAATTACTGAGAAGTGAAAAGTTAATCTGAGTATTCTAATTAAAACCTCATTAACACTAATATCCTGAGCTTAAATGGATAGGTCACAGATTACAATCACAAAACAATCTTATTTTTTATGATAGTAGACTACTTTACAAAATGTTGAGCTGAGTCACTTAATACACCTGATGGATCCCAAACCTTGATGTTAAAAGTACCCATAATATTAAGTCCATTCATTTTTCAGACAACGATGCTTTACTAGCAGTAGCTTTCCAGACTGACGTGTGCCGAAAAACTTAACATTGGCCCTGGTATCCATCAGCAGGAAAAGACAGATATGATTGATATTTAGCCATAAATCAATAATTTTAATTTATTCTAGTGCAGCACAACATTTTAAAAGGATTCACAGCAAAACAACTGATTTTCTTGACCACATTCAGCCCAGTAAATTCCAGAGCATTTAATCCAACATGGCCGCCATAGCTTCACAAACCGGTCTAGCGGTTTACACCAGTTTCATACCGTTCCTGTGTAATTCTGGCACAGAAAATCACAAGTTTCGTGTGTGGAGTTCAATGGCAGTTACGAAAAATATAAAAAAACAATAAAACCACTGCTACATCAATAAAACGGTACATAAAATGCCACCTCACCTGAAAAGTACCGAACCCAACCGACGAAACGATTCTGAAACGGCATATTATTGGTCGCCGCCCGGCCCCAGCAACAGCGTTGGAGCAGCGCACTGCGAGTTTCCTCCCAACTTCCGTCACTTTTCTAGCTACCATATCACATTTTAGAGAAATCCTTCGTAAAAGCGCTAAGAAAACTTCAAAGCCCGCCCAATGGTTACATGCTTGAAGACTTATTTGAAATATTTGATTTTGAAATGTGTTATTATTTTTCATCTAGATGAAAAATCGCTTTAATGATAAAAGATGATGAATGGAAAGAACTTGAAAAATGTTGCATGAATCTTGCTTTTTTATGTTGGTGGAATTCCTTCGACTGATAAAATTGTATCCTACAATAAAGACGCAGTAGTTTCATATGTGAAAATCAGCGAGGCCCGCATTGCTTCCCATTCATTTCTCTTTTTCATACGCGCGAAGTCGCACAAGTTGGGCATATCAATATAGGGGGCCTTGACAAATTACCCCTGGCGGCGCTAGCAGTGCATGGTTTCTTTTCAATTTCATATATTGGTGGGGTGCGCGAGTTGATGCAGATTTCACTTTGTTTTAAACAAGTAGAGGTAAGTTACTTTGCATTTTGTGGCCCATCTTGTCTTGATATTGATATGCATTTTACTTACACTATTCTTATCTAGCTCAGATAAAGCTTTTTGCTAAGGCTTCTTGCTTTTTAAGTATGACATAGGAAGCATGAATTTCATCCTTGGACTTTGGAGGTATACCCGTATTTTTTTGGTTGGAGGTAGCCATTCTGCCAAATTAGTTGTACCTATGCTGCAATATTCAAGAGTGTGGTTTCTGTTATAATATATATTATATATATATATTAGGGTGGCACTTAGCAATAGGGTGAATTTTATGTTATCCGATTTTTAGGCGTGCGGGTAGTTTTCTGGTTCCATTCCCGTAAAAAATAATGTGTGCAAAATGATTTTGAAAAATATTGATATTTAGGGGTCGTGAATTGAGGTCAAAGTTGGCAATTTTGGGGAAAAAAATCAACTTTTTGGAAACTACTTTAAACCTATTTGGAATGACATGTGGTCATTAAAGGGACCCTCCCACCTTCAAAAAAGTTAATGAATTGGCATGAAAGTGATGTCGCTCGGTTCAGAAAGAGCAAAAACGAATATCTACCAAATTTCATCGAAAAATATTCACCGGTTTTCAAGATATTAGACTTTTACTTTTGTTTACTTTTTGGGATCTCCGCTGTTCCTAGCGACTTTATTTGAAAGTGCGGCATTTGTTGCGCGCAAAGCAGCATATACCACCGCGTGCTACAAAACGTTTTAGTCAAACATTTAACGGACGTTCGAAAGCCCGATGACGTCATCAGATTCCCGTAATGGTTAAGAGATAGGGACCACGCTGGTCCCACCCTGCAAGTAAAGGGAAGAAATTTCTTGAACACCATAAAGCTGCGGGGGTTGCGACCAGGATAAATGGTGGTTTCTGAGCCTGGCCGCAAACTTGGCTATCTCAACTCAAAACTAATGTTAAGGTGGGAGGGTCCCTTTAAGCGTCATATCCGACGTATTTTGACCTTTATTTGTATAACAATTGCTTATCCCATCACTTCCGGTCGATCGTAGCCAGTCCAGGTCACCCAAGCCCTGATCGGCGGCCGGCTAGTACTCTTGCCGGCGCTCACATACGTGCACGTTACCCCGGCAACGGGCTATTGACCAATGAGAAGCGAGAAAAGTGTTACGTCACTGCGATTTTTCATATACCTGTGCCCCCCGGACGTGACGTAGTGTGCTCGCGCGCGTGCAGGGTCTCTGCGATCGAAAAAGAGCGCTAGCAGCGCGCCACTCGACGCCGCAATCGTCTAAAGCGGCGTGTCAGTATGCTTTATTATGAATGATGCGTGTAAAAGTGAGTTTTTATGTTGTTAATGTGGAGGAAATGGTTGGAAAAAATAAGTTATTTTTATTTCTATTGGTTGGAGTTTTTATTCAAAAGATTTCGGTCTATAGCATTGATATTTACTGAAAATGCCTTCGTTTGAATAAATTGCAGATATTTGGCAACTGAAGTGTTAGGTAAGCCTAAATGATGCCTAAAAAGGTAAGAGATATCCTGATTATCATTTGAGAAACGAAAATATATGAATTTCCCTTATAAGGCTCGCTCAACACGCTACTCCGCGGTTTATGCCCCGAGGGTGTCCGAGGGTTCCCGTTAGTTTGTCGTTGGCGCTCGGCTCGCGCGCGAGCCGACGTCATCGCCCGTGACGTCGGCTCGCGGAATGCGTCATACCCTGCACACAAAATAGCCGGCTGCCGAACAGCGCTCCAGACTGCAAAGTATGGCAATTTCGACGAGATCTCGTTGGTGCGGGCTTGTTTGGCTGGTGCGGATTTTGGAGTGGTGCGGTGCGGATTTTGCCTGGTGCGGTGCGGATTTGGCGTGGACCTTGATGCGGTGCGGACTTCGCTTGGTCTTCTTACCCGGCCGGGTTTCCTTGTTGACTTTTCTTTGGAAAGCCCTACAAATGCGTGCCAGCCACGGTGACGCACGGTGACGGAGAAAGGTTTTAAATTTACTCTACGAACTAACAATTGCGGCAGAACAAATCCATTCTCGCCTCGGAAATTAACGTGATGACGACGTCATTAGAACGAAGACTGGTTGCGGTGGTGACTGGTATGTCACATTTGCGAGCAGCTGGTTTGAATTGCCAATCAGCACGCTACTTTGGAATGACGTCATTAGTTTTACTCATTCGAAAGTTTGTTGTGGCGATTTTATCAAGGCTCGTCAAATTCACACGTGACATTTAGCATGTAGAAGGCCCACAGAGAGGGGAGAAGTTCCGAATGTCACGTGACCCAATATGCCCTCCGGCGCCCTTTTGTCACCAGCGTCCGTCTATTTGCTCTACTTCAAACTTCCGGCACAAGTGCGCGGCGCGGTCCGGTGGTGAGCGTTGCTCGTGAAACTGAAATTGTCATACTTTGCAGTCTGGCAGGTCACGCCAAGACAGGTCTGATCTGGGCTGTTTGAGGTCTGTCTGAGCTGTTTTACCCATGTCAGGCCTGTTTTTGGCCTGCGACCGGTGCCTTCTCACAGTGGAGGTCATATCCTCTTATGAGTGTGAGCCGTGAGGAGTGAACGGTCTCAGTCCTGTTCCAAAGGGAGGACGAGCCCCACAGTTCCATCGGTTCTTGAGACATGCTCCTTTTCTGTCAAAGAGAATGTGAAGAAGTTGGAGTCAGCCTATCGCCGGCGGGGGAAAGCAGAGGCGAGAGTGGGCATTGAGCTGCACTGGTTTATTGTGCTTTCGGGATGTTCTTCCGTGGGCGCTTCTTCCGACTCTACATAGTGCCAGTGCCAGCAACAGACTTACCCGGCCGTTGCGGCACGCACACGGATGGAACGCCTTTGACGATGGCGACCATGAGAGAGAAACGTCGACTCACACTCCCAAGCGCATGCGGGCGAGCGGACGTCCCCAACAGTGAACTGGCCTCGACCGGGCCAAACTGCCCAACCGTAATGTGTGAAGAACACGTGAGCCTGTTATCAACTGCGGCACGGAACTTCTGATACGACTCCGGCTGAACCGCGAATCCTGAACCGCGAGAGAAGGAGCGTCGACCGATTCTAGGTCCTGGTGATGGGGGGGGGGATTAGGGTGGCCAAGCTCCTCGCCGTTCCCAAACTCCCCTCCATCCAAGCACAGGAGGCCATGCTCACAGCGCTGGGGGGCTAGGAACTGGAGAAGCGGAACTGCGGCCTTTTGCTTCGACGCCACGACGGCGAACAGCATGCTGGCGAACGGTACTTTAGCCCTTATCGAGCAGAAGGTGGATCGGCCCGTCCTCCAGCTGGCCTGCCGGCACCACGTGTAAGAGCTGGTCCTAGAGAAGGCCTTCTCCACCTGCCGTAGAATCTCGAGCGGCCTCTACATCCGGCTGTTTAAGAGGATCAAAGGCGGATGGGAGTTCATGCTTCATTGACAGGATCACACCGGTGGCATTCGCCGTCGACGACGTTCCGGAGTGGGACAAGCTGCTGGTAAGCTTCCATCGCTGGACTATGCCTAGCTCCGGGAAGGCTACCGAAAACTTCTGGAGCTCTGCGTAACTGCTCTCGGTGGAGTTCCAAGCACGGCATCCGTTTCTCCGCCTCAGAGTAATCCACTGAGTTAGGTGGATGGCAAAGACCATCCGTACCGTGGATGCCTTCCTCTTCATGGAGCGGCTCCGGCTGACGGCGGCCGAGGCCCAGGTCATCAGACGCTGTGCGCTGTTCGTTGCGTGCAAGTTCGCCGCCGCCGCCGCCGTCTGGTCTGGGACTCTACTGCCACTGCGCCGGCTCTGGACCTGACCTTCGTGAACTCGTTCTGCACCTACCCCGACAAGGAGCTGTCGAAGGCGACAGTCCCGGTCTTCGGCCGTCACCTGTAGTAATTGAGTGATCGGCTGGTGACTCTGGAGCTTTTAGACCCCGACCCTCGGGCTCAATCAAGACATGGTGCGGGCAATAGACTTGTAGGAGAGGGGACCCGCCCCATAAGTCCTTAGTGGACACTATGAACGCCGCTCTCGCGACCGAGACGTTGGCGAGCTTCCTCACACCATCGTTCAAAAAGCTCTCAAGGATACACGACCTGGACGCGGGGCTCATCATCAATGACCAAGGCCACTGGGAGGACAGCAGCTACCAAACCGCAGCTCGTGTAGTCCGGGAGCTGCGGGTGGTGAATGACTTCACCAGGCGCGGTATGGCGCTGATGTAGGACTGGCACTCATGGAAGACAAAGATTAGCGCCAGTTCTTCCTCCATGTCGTTGAAAAGATCACAGAAAACGCTAACCTGACACCCGAAGATCGACTGCAATTGCTAACCAGGCTACACACAAAGTGATCTGGGTGCCCGTTGCCCATGATACCCCTCCCTCCAATGAGGCGCCAATAATCTACTAAAGAGGAGGAACTGGAGTAGTGGAGTACATGACCAGCGTTCTGGCGTGGCCGAAGCTGCATGGAATATCAATAAACAATATGAAAATTGAAAATGACTAAGAAA